GAGGCATTTTTTACTCCCACTGGCCATAGTCCGGCCTTCCTAAATCCTGAAGCACAGTGAACTGGCCCTTTGCTTAAAATATTTGGAGACCCCTGTTCTACAGCCCCTCACCTGTTCTTGGGGTGGACCCCATTACATGGTACTTGCATCCTAACCATCCACCCGCCTTTTCTCCTCTCTTCCCCCTCCTGTTCATTCCCCCAACTTTGTCTTCCATGGTTTTCTCTCTATACCGAATGTTGGAATGTGGCCAATGGACCTCCGTGATGGGGCACATACTCCATCCGCTTGTCTCATCCTTTTCCCTTCCTGTTCATTCCACCACCTATTTCCTATCGTGCTTCCTCTATACCCAGACGCAGGACCTATGCGATGGGATGGGATACATACTCCATGAATCTCTGGACTCGCTCTAGATGTGTAGGAACATTGTACAATGTATCAAAGCTTCCATAATGAACATTGCATTGACAGCGCTCTACATTGTATGTTGTGAACATCTTTTTTGTCTTCATACAATGTAATTATGCAAACAGTTTGGGTTTCCCATCACTTGTAGACTCCAGGACCATGGCCACCAGGAAAAAGAGAAGGTGAATTCACACAAAAGGTACTTAGACCTCGGTCCATTGAGCTGCCCGCCACCTGGGATTTATAATAACGTAGGTGCCAAAGATTCATTTAACTTCTACAACCAAGAAAACAAAAAAAAAACCTGACAAAGGGTCTAACTCTTACACATTCCTTCCAGAACAAGCGGGTTTTTTTTTTCGGAGTTCCCTCCAGAGGGATGCAGAAGAGTCATAATCAGAGTCTAATAGACGCTGATGGCTCCTGACTCCCCCACTGGGCACATATTGGGGATGGAAAATATCAGAAGTGGTGTTCACCACATTAACGAAGCAGATTTTTTTCAGGTCTATTCACTCCAGTTTCTATTCCAGAGTGAAATTAAAAATCTAGCGCAGGTCTGCCCCTCATTAACAGGGAATATGGAAATCTTCCATATAGAAATCTGCCACAGATTTGAGCCAGGTGTGACCTGCCAAATGGAATATGAGCTGCCAGCAGACAGGTCACATCTCTCACTCTGCTCATGCAGGGAATAGATCACAGATTCCTGCCAGGTGTGACCTGTTGAATGGAATATGAGCTGTCAGCAAACAGCTCAATACCCCACTTTCTGCCCGTGCAGATCACATACCTCTCAATGCTTGTACAGGGAATGTGTCAGGTTTCTATATAGAAAAATGGCCACAGATTCCTGCCAGGTGTAGCCTGCCAAAGGAAATGGCTGCCAGCAAACAGGTCACATCAGTCTCTCTGCTCGTGCAGGGATTATATCAGGTTTCCATATAGAAAACTGCCAAAAATACCTGTCAGGTGTGACCTGTTGAATGCAATATGAGCCGTCAGGAGACAAGTAATATCCCTCTCTCTGCTCGTGTAGGAAACATGGCACTTTTCCCATATAGAAAACTGCCACAGATTCCGGCAAGGTGTGATCTGCTGAATGCAATATAAGTTGCCAGCAGACAGGCGACATCCCTCTCTCTGCTCGTGTAGGAAATATGTCAGGTTTTCATATAGAAAACTGCCACAGATTCCTGCCAAGTGTGACTTGTCAAATGGAATAGGAGCTGCAGCAAAGAGGTCACATCCTTCTCTCTGCCTGTACAAGTCAAATCCTTCTCTCTGCCTGTATGGGTCACATCCCTTTCTCTGCTCATGTAGGGAATGTCATTTCTCCATATAGAAAACTGCCACAGATTCCTGCCAGGTGTGACCTGTCAAATGGAATAGGAGCTGCAGCAAAAAGGTCACATCCTTCTCTCTCCCTATATAGGTCACATCTCTCTCTCTCTGCCTGTACAGGTCACAACCCTCTCTCTCTGCTCGTGTAGGGAATATGTCAGGTTTCCATATAGAAAACTGCCACAGATTCCTGCCAGGTGTGACCTGCTGAATGGAATATAAGCTGCCAGCAGACAGATCACATCCCTATTTCTGCTCGTGTAGGGAATATGTCAGGATTCCATATAGAAAACTGCCACAGATTCCTGCCAAGTGTGACCTGTCAAATGGAATAGGAGCTGCAGCAAAGAGGTCACATCCCTCTCTCTGCCTGTACAGGTCACATCCCTCTCTTCTATATGGAAACCTGACATATTCCCTACATGAGCAAACTGCCACAGATTCCTGCCAAGTGTGACTTGTAAAACAGAATAGGAGCTGCAGCAGAGGTCAATTCCTTCTCTCTGCCTGTACAAGTCAAATCCCTCTCTCTCTGCCTGTACAAGTCACACCCCTCTCTCTCTCTGCTCGTGTAGGGAATATGTCAGGATTCCATAGAGAAAACTGCCACAGATTCCTGCCAAGTGTGACATGCTGAATGGAATATAAGCTGCCAGCAGACAGATCACATCCCTCTCTCTGCTCGTGTAGGGAATATGTCACGTTTCTATATAGAAAACTGCCACAGATTCCTGCCAAGTGTGACCTGTCAAATGGAATAGGAGCTGCAGCAAAGAGGTCAAATCCTTCTCTCTGCCTGTACAGGTCACATCTTTCTCTCTGCCTGTACAGGTCACATCCCTTTCTCTGCTGGTGTAGGGAATATGTCAGGTTTCCATATAGAAAACTGCCACAGATTCCTGCCAAGTGTGACCTGTCAAATGGAATATGAGCTGCAGCAAAGAGGTCAAATCCTTCTCTCTGCCTGTACAGGTCACATCCCTCTCTCTGCTCGTGTAGGGAATATGTCAAGTTTCCATATAGAACACTGCCACGTGTGACCTGTCGAATGGAATATGAGCTGTCAGCAGACAGATCACATCCCTCTCTCTGCCCATGCAGTGATTTCAGTACACAAGCAGGGCCAACATCCCTCCTCCTCCTTGCCCCCCTGAGCTGAGCAGGGTGCGTGGATGGGCAGAAATCTCAGAACACGCAGCTGCAGCTCTCCATTCTCTCTGCCATGTGCTGCGTTTGTCACAGCCACAGAACAAAGAAGTGATCGCTCCTCATCACTAAAGATACTTGCGCAGCATCTGCTCCATATTTATATTTAGAAGAGTGGCGCACGCACTGATCTTGCACAACTTTCTTCTTAATTCTCACCATCACGGTCTATCGACAGGTAAGAGGGGAGAAGAATACATAATAGTGACTGAACGAGAAGAATCTGCGACTCTTTTCTGGATTTAGCATTTATTGCTCACCTTTGCTAGTCTCTGCGAGAATTCGTTGCTCTCCTACTGAAAATTTCAGAAACCGGGTTTCTCTAGCGAGCTCGTTGCCCCTAATGTACCTTTCCCCTTCTGTTGCAATCTCCAGTTCAGCTGCTACATCCAAACAGGTCTGGTTTACAGGCTAAACATCACAAAAAAAAAAAAAAAAAAAAAAGATCAGAATTATGAGCTTCTGTAGTTCCACCTGCTGGTAAAATTTGGTAGTGCAGCAAGACCATGACGTACAACAGAGCTTTATGGGAAGCACTGTGAACGGTCGTCTTTGACATGTTAGCAGTGGCCCACAATTATTTTAGGTCACCAGCATTACTGTAGACGACATTAAAGCAGAGCTCCACCCAAAAGGGGAAGTTGCGCTTTAAGGTTTTTAAGTCCCCTGCTCCCCGTTAAGGTTTGGCACCTTTGGGGACGTGGGGGGGTAACCCGAATTTCACAGGTACCCGCTCCCACTGCGACCGCCTAGGCGATTGGAAGCGGACGCTGTCCCCCCCCCTTTGTCTTCGGGACACGTGACAGGTCCCAGAAGACTACGGGACCATTCAAGTGCAACGCTACTCTCGCATGCGCAGTGGGCACTCGGCTGTGAAGCCGCAAGCTGTCACAGCCGGATGCCCACACTGAAGATGTCGGTGCTGAGGAGACAGGACGGCCAGTCAACCCGGCCGGTGTGAGGACACCACGGGATTGAGGGACAGGTGAGCGTCCCTTTTTTTATTTTTAAAGTCAGCAGCTACAGTTTTTGTTGCTGCTGACTTTTATTGTATTTAATTCTGACTGGTCCTCAGATTTAAAGCACAAATCCAGTCAAACCAAAACAAACCCCCCCCCCAAAAAAAACAAACCCACCCCTAAAAAACAAACAAAAAAAAAAAAAAACCAAAAAGAACAAAAAAAAAAAAAAACCAACCCCCCCAAAAAATACAAAAAAAAAACAAGAACCAACCAACCAACCAAAAAAAAAAAAAAAAAAAAACAAAAACAAACCCCCCCCAAAAAAAACCAAACAAACCCCCCCCAAAAAAAAAAAAAACAAAAAAAAAAAACACCCCCCCCCCAAAAAAAAAAAAAAAAAAAAAAAAAGCTTTGGATGTAATATTAAGTTTTAAAATCAGGAGCCCACAGTACTTCTTTCCCACCTCTAGATGTCCTCGGTCTTCTGGACTGAATGACAGCCAGCATCATTCAACCCACTTCCTCTGAGCACAGCAAATCATGGACCCTCCTCCAGCCTTGTGCCACTTTCTTCCTCTCCCAGTCTGAGCTCTGCTGTACAAGGACTTTAGCAGGCCACTACCAGCTCAGTTACTTACACATTATATATTAATGTTTTTTTTTTACGTTTCACGGTTTGTGTTTTACACTTGCATGTTTTTTGTTCACTTACGGGTTTTTAGTTTTTTTGCACCTCCACGGACTAAAAAAAAAAAAATAGGATGAATGTATCCTGGAGTCTGGTCCACTTACCTGCACACAATTCATCTGTACATGAGCTTCTTCCTGGGACTGTTGGCTGAGAAATCTCTCTGGTGGGTTTCCATGACTGGATCCATCTACCTGATGGTGGTGAGGGATGGTGAGATGTTCCTGTGTGGAGTCCCGGGAATACAGAGGACGGGGACATCTCTCTGGTGGGTTCCCATTACTGGATCCATCTACCTGATGATGGTGGGGGACGGTGTGATCTTCCTGTGTGGAGTCCCGGGAATATAGAGGACGGGGGGATCTCTCTGGTGGGTTCCCATTACTGGATCCATCTACCTGATGGTGGTGAGGGATGGTGAGATCTTCCTGTGTGGAGTCCCGGGAATACAGAGGACGGGGACATCTCTCTGGTGGGTTCCAATTACTGGATCCATCTACCTGATGGTGGTGAGGGATGGTGAGATCTTCCTGTGTGGAGTCCCGGGAATACAGAGGACGGGGACATCTCTCTGGTGGGTTCCCATCATTGGATCCATCTGTAGGAAACACACACTGACTGAATACATTGTTTCTATGTGTTTATCAGATGATGGGGGATCTAGGTGGAGCCTCCATACTCTTCTCTCCAAGAAATGAAGGTCTTCTCAACATGGAGGAATCCTTGAGGTGGCCTTCCAGGCTTTTACAATACGTGAATGTGATGATCACTGGTAAGAACGCTCCTTGCATTTGTGGTTATTGGGAAGAATTCCTGTCAAAACCGGGTACCCGCTACCCCCAAAAAGGTGCCAATGTGGCAACAGAAGGGAATGGAGGCAGATAAGCAAAGCTTCCACTTTTGGGTGGAACTCTGTTTTAAGGTGGCCATATGGATTAAAAATCATAATTTCTTCTGCACTATATTGCCAAAAGTATTGGCCCCGCCCTCCAAATCATGTGATTCAGGTGTTCCAATCCCCGCCATGGACACAGGTGTATACAATCAAGCCCCTAGGCATGCAGACTGCTTCTACAAACATTGGTGAAAGAATGGGTCGCTCTCAGGAGCTCACTGACTCCAAGCGTGGTCCCGTGATAGGTGGCCAGCTGTGCAATAAGTCCATCCGTGACATTTCCTGGCTACTAAATGTTCCACGCTCAACTATTAGTGGGATTATAACAAAGTGGAAGCAACTGGGAACAACAGCAACTCAGCCACCAAGTGGTAGGCCACGTCACATGACAGGACAGGGTCAGAGCATGCTGAAGCGCATAATGTGCAGAAGTCGCCAACTGTCTGCAGAGTCAATAGCTAAAGACCTCCAAACTTGGTGTGGCCTTCAGATGAGCCCAACCACAGTGCGTAGAGAGCTTCATGGAATGGGTTTCCATGGCTGAGCAGCCGCATCCAAGCCTTCCATCACCAAGTGCAATGCAAAGCGTAAGATGCCGTAGTGTAAAGCACGCCGCCACTGAACTCTAGAGCAGAGGACAAGTGTTCTCTGGAGTGACCAATCACGCTTCTCTGTCTGGCAATCCCATGGACGCGTCTGGGTTTTGCGGTTACCAGAACGGTACTTGCCTGACTGCATTTTGCCAAGTGTAAAGTTTGGAGGAGGGGGAATTATGGTGGGGGGTTGTCCCTCAGGGGTTGGGCTTGGCCCCCTAGTTCCAGTGAAGGGAACTCTCAAAATGACATTTTGGACAATTTCATGCTCCCAACTTTGTGGGAAGAGTTTGGGAATGGCCTCTTCCTGTTCCAACATGACTGCGCACCAGTGCACAAAGCGTCCTGACCTCAACCCCATAGAATACCTTTGGGATGAATTAGAGCGGAGACTGTGAGCCAGGCCTCCTTCCCCGACATCAGTGCCTGACCTGACAAATGTGCTTCTGGAAGAATGGTCCAACCTTCCCATAGACACCCTCCTAAACCTTGTGGATGGCCTTCCCAGAAGAGTTGAAGCTGTTATAGCTGCAAAGGGCGGGGCCAACTCAATATTGAACCCTACGGACTAAGACTGGGAGGCCAACACAGGTCATGTGCGTGGAAAGGGTGAGGCCAACTCAATATTGAACCCTACGGACTAAGACTGGGAGGCCATTAAAGGTCATTTGTGTGGAAAGGCCGGCTGACCAATACTTCCGGCAAAATAGTGTATGTATGGCCACCACGGCTCAACAGAAGACAATTTATAGATTCTGAACAGAGCTGTTGGGAAGAAAAAAAAAAAAAAAAAACGCTCGATCAGCAGCTGTAGCCAATGGCTGCAGCACTGATCTGTGTATTCTGATAGCAGAACTGCCCCCCGTCAGAATACAATAGTGCAGCAGGAAGGATTCCCCCATCCACCTTGAATGTGTGGATGAGGGAATCAGTGCATCTGTGGAAATTCTAATTAGATTCCTCTCGTTCAGCCTGAAGGCTGAGAAATCTGTGCATGTACAGCTAGCCTATTAGAGGCTGATGGCTCCTGACTCCTCCCACTGGGCACATACTGCCCCCCCATTACAGAGAAGGGGGGAGAAGAAGAGATTGTTGTAGTGACTGAACAAAGAGGATCTGGGACTCTTCTATGGATTTAGTGTTTATTCCTCACCTGTGCTGATCTCTATAGGAACTTCCTCCTCTTTAATCCTCGCATGTCCTTCTTCCTCCTCCTCAGCTTTGATGTTTGTCTGAGTCTCTTTTGTGTCTCCGGGGTCTGTGAAGGAAGATGAAAGTGAAGCACCCCCGTACTGTGAGACCCCAGAGAGTGTGTGTGGGGGGAGACTGGTCTCAAATTCACATTAGAATCACACTGGACAAACCCAAAAAAATAAATTAATTAACCCCTTCCCATCCGGCCCATGTACATAAACGGCTAGAAGGTGGCAGTCCAGGGGCGGGTGGCTGTTCATAAACGGTGCCTGCATTTTCAAGCTGTGCATGCTCCCTGGGATCACACGGCACCGCGATCCAGTGCCCGGAGGACACAGATCGCTGGTCGGGACCTCTGTGTGAGGTCCCGATCATGTGATCACCGATTGGCCAATCAGTGATCACATGAACAGTAGTAAACAAGATGTCACTTCTGACATCATTGCTTACTACTTGTGAAATCTATGAATGATCACAGAGGTCACATGGTACAGAGCTATTCACAACAGCCTTGTACCATGTGACAAGCTGTGACCAATCACAGCTCTCACAGTATTTCTCAATGGCTGCAGGAATGCAGCCAGAGAGAAGGAGAAATGATTTCTTTTACAGCCTTTATGAGTGTAAAAGCAATCGGTGTACAAAAAAAAAAAAAAAAAAGTTGATCACCCCCCACAAGTAGTACAGTGACACTATGGTGACACTGTACTGCTAGGGTGACAGTATGTTAAAAAAAAATATATATATAAAAAAAAAAAAAAAAAAAAAGAATAGTGTGAAAAATTATAATAATTTTTGGTTATAAACTAATTTGGGTTATTTTTTTTTTTACTAAAAAGATAACTGAATACATTTTGGTCACGATTTATGAAGAAAGATTATTTATTTGCAAAATGTTAAAAGAAAAATACTTTTTTTTTAAATTTCTTGGACTTTCATTTATATAGCAAAAAAAAAAAAAATTCCAGCGGTGAATAAATACCACCAAAATAAAAATAAAAAATGCTAAACAAGTTCATATGGGTACAGTGTTGCATGACCGCGCAATTGTCATTCAAAGTGTGAAAGCTGAAAATTGGCCTGGGCAGGAAGGGGGTAAAAGTGTCCGGCTCTCGCATTAAAAGAAAACGAATGTACCGTATTTTTCGCTCCATAAGACGCACCTGACCATAAGAAGCACCTAGGTTTTGGAGGCAGAAAACAGGAAAAAAAATATTCTGAACCAATGGACTGCAGACATAGTACAGGAAATGACCACCGGACAGTAGGAGATGACCAGAGACGCGGACAGTACAGGAGATGACCAGAGACTGCGGACATAGTACAGGGATGACCAGAGACTGCGGACAAAGTACAGGAGATGACCAGAGACTGCGGACAGTACAGGAGATGACCAGAGACTGTGGACAGTACAGGAGATGACTGCTGACCTTTGGGGAGGAGGGGGGGGGGGGGAGCGGGTACCTGAATTTGACAGGTACCCACTCTTACTGCCGCAGAGTTGTTCTTTGGTTAGTGTCTGCTCTGCAGCGGGACCTTACCTGTTCCTCTATCCAGTGGCGGGCTGTCTTCCCGGCTTCTGTACTGTGGGCGCTCGGCTTGACAGCCGGGTGCCCAGTGCGCATGAGCGAGAAGCGCTGCGCTTTGTGATTGGTCCGGCGGCTTCTGGGACCTGTCATGTGTCCCAGGTGCCGCCTTACTATTCACAAAAGCGCACCGCTTCTCGCGCATGCGCACTTGGCACCCGGCTGTCAAGCCGAGCGCCCACAGTACAGAAGCCGGGAAGACAGCACGCCGCTTGGATAGAGGAACAGGTAAGGTCCCACTGCAGAGCTGAGCGGCCGGTCCCGGTATTCTGACACAGCGGCGGTTGAAATACCAGACCGGCCGCTTCATATTCGCTCCATAAGACGCACTGACATTTTCCCCCCTTTTTTGGGGGGAAAAAAGTGCGTCTTATGGAGCGAAAAATCCGGTAATTTGTACCGCAGCTGTGTGAACCGAACCTTAGTGATTACTACTCACCTGTGCTGATCGCTGGATGGATTTCCTGCTCCTTGCATGGTTCATCACACATCACCCCATATTGATCTTCTTCATCTCCTTCAACTTTAATAGTGATCAGTTTTTGATTCTACAGAAATACGACAAAAAGAAAGCAAGAAAGAAAGAAAGCAAAAAAGAAAGAAAGAAAGAAAGCAAGAAAGAAAGAAAGAAAGAAAGAAAGAAAGAAAAAAAAAGAAAGAAAAAAAAAAGAAAAAAAAAAAAAAAAAAAAAAAAAAAAGAAAGAAAAAAAAAAAAGAAAAAAGAAAGAAAGGAAGAAAAAAAGAAAAAGAAAGAAAGAAAGAAAAAAAAAAAGAAAAAAGAAAAGAAGAAAGAAAGAAAAAAAATAATAATATGAATATTTTACTAAGCATAGCTGAACCCAAGAACAATGCAGTGTAGGCACTCTCCCTTAAAGTGCTTGTAAAGTCTTACGATTTCTATGCATGAAGGTAAAAAAAACCTTCTGTGTGCAGCATCCCCCCCTCCCCCAGCCCCCTCAATACTTACCCAAGCCCCCTCCCGATCCAGCGATCTGCACTGGAGTCTCAGCTATCCGGGGACTCTCTCTTCTCATTGGCTAAGACAGCAGCGGGAGCCATTGTCAATCACAGCAAGTGAGTCAATGAGAAGAGAGAGAAGGGGCAGAGCCGAGCTGCGGCTCTGTGTGTGAATGGGCACACGGAGCAGCGGGTGCCCCCATAGCAAGCCACTTGCTGTGGGGGCACCCGACAGAAGAGAGGAGCCAGGAGAGCCTGTGGGGGACCCGAAAAGAAGATGATCTGGGCTGCTCTGTGCAAAACCATTACACAGCAGGTAAATAAATATAGACAGGTTTGTTTTTTTTTTTCTTTTTCTTAAATTATGCTTTTAGAATTACTTTAAACTGGGGTCCCTAATCTACACTAAGTGCCTGGTTTGGGAATTTAAATCACATCTAATGACTGTGAATGTCGGTGTCTTAACATCTGCAATTACTGCAGCGCGATTTCTAAAGTAGTTCTTGCATGACTTTTTCTGCAGTTTGTTTTTTTTTTTTTTTGCAATTCCACATACATAGAATATAATAGAAATCCCCTCACATACAGTTGCAAGAAAAAGTATGTGAACCCCTTGGGATTACGTGGAGTTTTGCATGAATTGGCCATAAAATGTGCTCGGAACGTCATCTAAATCACAATAGAAGAACACAGTCTGCTGAACATAATACTACACAAATATTAGATGTTGCCATGGTTTAATTGCACATAACATGTAAACATTCACAGTGCAGGGAGGAAAAAGTATGTGAACCTTTGGACTTAACTGGTTGACCCTCCTTTGGCAGCAATAACCTCAACCAAATGTTTCCTGTAGTTGCAGATCAGACCTGCACAACGATCTGGAGTAATTTTGGACCACTCCTCTTCACAAAACTGTTTCAGTGTAGCAATATTCTTGGGATGTCTCGTGTGAATCGCTCTCTTAAGGTCATGCCACAGCATTTCAATAGGGTTGAGGTCAGGACTCTGACCGGGCCACTCCAGAAGGCGTATTCTGTGCTGTTGCAGCCATTGTTTTGTTGAATTACTTGTATGCTTTGGGTCATTGTCCTGTTGCATCACCCATCCTCTGCGGAGCTTCAGTTGGCGGACAGATGGTCGTACGTTTTCCTGCAAAATGTCTTGATAAACTCTGAAATTCATTTTCCCATCAATGACAACAATCCGTCCAGGCCCTGAGGCAGCAAAGCAGCCCCAAACCATGATGCTCCCTCCACCATGTTTTACAGTGGGGATGAGGTTTTGATGTTGGTGTGCTGTGCCTTTTTTTCTCCACACATAGTGTTGTGTGTTCTTCCCAAACAACTCAATCTTGGTTTCATCTGTCCACATATATATTTTGCCAGTAGTGCTGTGGAACATCCAGGTGCTCTTTTGCAAACTTCAAATGTGCTGCAATATTCTTTTTGGACAGCAATGGCTTCCTCTGTGGTATCCTCCCATGTACTCCATTCTTGTTTAATGTTTTCCTTATTGTAGATGTGTCAACAAAAATGTTAGCATGTGCCTGAGATTTCTGTAGGTCTTTAGCTGACACTTTGGGATTCTTCTTTACCTCATGCAGCATTCTGCGCTGTGCTCTTGCAGTCATTTTTACAGGACGACCACACCTAGGGAGAGTAGCAACAGTGCTAAACTTTCTCCATTTGTAGACAGTCTGTCTTACCGTGGACACATGAACATCAAGGCTTTTGGAGATACTTTTGTAACCCTTTCCAGCTTCATGCAAGTCAACAATTCTTGATCGTAGGTCTTCTGAGAGCTCTTTTCTGCGAGGCATGGTTCACATCAGACAGTGCTTCTTGAAACCAGTAAACCCAAAACAGGCGTGTGTTTTTTTAAGGGCAGGACAGCTGTCAGCAACACATCCAATATCATCACACTGATTGGAGTCAAGGTTGGCTCACTCCTGGCTCCAATTAGCTCTGGGAGAAGTCATTAAGCTAGGGCCTCACATACTTTTTCCTCCCTGCACTGTTTACATGGGGATCACAAGGGGATCACATACTTTTTCTTGCAACTGTATTTGCATCAAATTCACATTAGAATCACACTGGACACACAAAAAAAAGAAAAAAAAATCCCAATAAGTGTATATTAAAATAAATAACAATAAAAATCCCAATAAGTGTATATTAAAATAAATAATAAAACAAATCCTAATAAGTGTATATTCAAATAAATAAAAATTTAAAATCGCACTGCAAATTGCAAGAAATCGTTGACAATCTTCACAAGTAGCAATAAAGTGTTCAGAAATCGCACTGAAATTTTTATAATCGCAGCAGTGTGACCGGTGACTTCACATTTGCGGCTAGGCAATAGACAGCTTGAACGTGGTTTATGTTGTCCGGGCTCAGGAGGAGATTGCGTGCTTCTCCTACGCCCGAGGAGATTGCGTGCTTCTCCTAC